TCCATGTTTTATGAGTTGTGTTACAGTAACCTGCTTCTTTCTGTCATCAGCCTTGTTTTTATATTGGAGCTCCCCCTACTGGATGAATGGTTGATCCGCACTAGACAACTTTTACAGTTTTATCAGTTACCAGGTTTTCGGTTTAACTTCTTTGTGGTGTATGGGATATTATGTGGGACAAAAATAAATATGGCCACATGCAATTCATTTATCATAAAAACAAACAGATTTTATCTACAATAAAAACACTATACATTACTTAATTATTAAAACTCAAGTCCTTATTGAGAAATGGTATTTCATTACTATTTTATTTGAGTTTATTGGAGTTTCATTGCAACATTTTATATATCAGAAAGCCTCTTTTACCAGTAATTTTCCTCCTGTTACCCTATCCTGTCACTTAATGTCACTTGTTGCCTCCAATGTCAGTCTTCCTGCCCTTCAGACAATCATTTGCTCCCAGCAGGCTCAGCAGCTATTAAATGAAGCTACACTAAACTAAATGTGGACAACATAACACTGTAAACATCTCGTTCTAAAACTTTGGGCTTTCTACAAGATTTTGAACCTTGGGGCAGCAATTTGCTCCCACTCAAGAGCATTAGTGAGGTCGGGCACTGATGTTGGGTGATAACACCTTGCAGTCGGCGTTCTAGTTCATCCCAAAGTCATTTGATTGGCTTGAGTTCAGTGCTGCTCAGTCACCTTCTTCCACACCAAACTCTGAAGCCATTTCTTTATGGATTTTCGCTTTGTGCAGTCATGTTAACAGGAAAGGGCCTTCCACAAACTGCTGGAAGTTGTAAACCCACTATTGTGTCAAATACCATTGTATGCTGTAGCATTAAGATTCCATTAATTGGAACTAAACAGCACAACCCAGGCCATGAAAAACTACCCAAGACCACAAGAAAAGAGAAGTCTTTTACACTGATTTAATGAAAATAATCCAGACACTTGTAAAAGTGTGGCTCAGAGGAGGGGATATTCGTGTGTTGCAAGTAAAAGTGCCAGGGATGCAAATATTCTTTGTACTTTGCTGATGTCTTTGCATCTTGGGTCTCTTCCTGATGATATCAGACAATCAAAATTTAAAGTAAAACTGGTCAGTCTTTGTATCCTACAAGCAAAATATTGTTTTTCTCCTCAATGGAAAAAATCTGAAGCACCAACTATTAATCAATGGCTGAATAGCCTCTATAACTGTCTGGCCATGGAAAAACTGACGTATGCTACTGAAGTCCACAAACAGACAGTCCAAAAAATATGAGGATGCTTAACACACTGCCTGGAAACCAGCGGTGCCTGGAGAAGTGGGTATACTCTAAATTTATGTCCCATTTTTTTTAAAGCGGATGATCCAGCAAAGGATAAACGCCCTGTGTTATAAACAGTGACATGTAAGACTACTCTTGCATATTAAGTTCATCTAAAAATGTGCCAGTAGTATTTGCACATTGTCACTTAACTTCTGCTGCTTTACTTCATGGAACAGGGATCATTGTGAAAATAAAATAGACCGGTGAGACAACTACATAATTGTGCATTTTGAGTGCTGTATTTTTTTTATTCCTACTCCATCCACTCATGAAAGTCTGTTTTGTTTTGCTTTTTTTAGTCCATGTTGATTGTGCAATAATATAAAAACCAATAAATACATTAAACAAGAACACAAGAGTACATCGACAAGCATGTCCACATACTGTACCTATTGCCCTAAATTTTACATAATCAGCCACTCATTATATTACTACTATCATCATCGTGATATTATAGTATAGCATTTTCCATTGCAAAGTTGCAAATGTGTGTCTAACTTGATCAAGGTTGACTCAGCCATAAGTGTTGGTGTGACCCCTGTCCTAACTTTATGCTGAAACATAACTTGATTATCTCACTGACTATAACTGCTGATGTGCAATTCTTAAATGGCAGCCAAGCAACAAATACTGACTTCATTAGAGGTGAAAAGACTCATGAAACATAAGAAGCATCGCTGATTCATATATCTAAAAATATACCACTTATTAATATGTCAGTGTATTATAATACACAAAGCTTACACACAAATTATTGTGGTTGTATAGGCTTACCATTAAAATAACTTGCTCAAGTACACTAACCCAAGCAGCTTTTCACCTCTGTGTATTGTGAACAGAGACCAGGATGTGGAGTGATGAAGGATTGCAAAGAGATACAAGATAATGTGATGTGTGAATGAACAGCTGGGTAGTTTTGGAAGAAACACAGTGTACAAATTCTGCACTAGAATTAATAAAGTTAAATATAGAGGTAATTAAAGCAAGGGACAAAAAAAAATTTGTTTTATGAGTGAAAACTGACAAACATCCTATTTTTTTTCTCCAACCCCCCCCCCCTCCTGGTGTGAACAGCCTTTCAGCACTGGGCTTGTGCAAGACAACTGTGTCTCATCAAAGTGACAGATCTCTGATCCTTTGGCTGGTAAGATGGAGTCTAGACATTGTCAGGAGTCATAGATACAACTGGACTGAGTTACAGAGCCAAATATAACAGATTGCCACTTCCCTCAGCCACTTCCCTACACTGTACACAGTGTTTGTTTGTGGGGCTGTAGCTGGGGCTCACTGGATGTGGTTGCGTAGTTAATGAACATGTTTGTACAGAAGCCTCAGAGCTGAACAGGACTGACGTGTGTTTACTTTTGTTACCAAATGGGCTTGTTTGAGTACACTATGAGTCAGTGCATCACATAGGTGTTACATACATGATAAGTCAGAGGTGCAGGTGTTGCCACAGAAAACATTTGTAATGTTAGCTGCTCGGCATTGTCTCCTTAGACAGAATACTGGTATAAATAAATATGTTTTCTGTGTGTAAAACTGATCATACAGTGGCAACATTAAGACCAAACTGAAACATCAGTATACACATATCGCTTGCATGACATCTGGCACTTGAGGCTACTAAAACTGTACTAGTTTGTAACCTTCATGGTAGTGTTCATATACACTCTAATCTATTCCACCATTCCCATGGCTTTGTGATTTATACTTAGCAGGTCTTTGACTCTACTCCCAAGGCGATCCTGTGGCTTTTGGGGGAGTTTTTACCATACAAGGAGAAGAGGAGTTTAGCTCAGTTTCCTGTGGGAGGGTTCTGATTTCTCTCACTCCGCATCTGATTCACCCTGTCTCTATTTCTCTCTCCCTTACCTCCTCTCTCTGTTCTCCTGTGCTGGTTTTGCTCCAAACCTCCTCTCTGCTCACTATAGAACTCGAAGAAGTAAAAGAAGTTTATTAAAAGGAGAACTTCACCAAAACACTTCCAAAATAAATATCTGTATCTGAGCAATTTATTATCATAACACTGTGTGCAGCCTGCATCCTGACAGACCAAATAAGGCACACAGTCACCACTCTTTATCATTGCAGGTCATGATGTAAGCTTGTATTAACCCCAGGATTTTAATGCTATCAAACTGCCACCACTTTCACAAACTTATGCCAAAAAAGGCTGCAGTTTCCCTCCCTTGCTAAAAAAAATTATTTTGCTGGCTTTCAGTTTGGCAGCTTTCCTCAGGGTGATCTGACTTCTGAAAAGCCTGCAAGTTACACGCCCTGTATACACAGTTCTTACATACCTATATATGTGATATGAGGCAGAACTGAAAATGATCTCATACCAAATGACCTCAGCTAATATATCGTGTAATGACTTTCTCAACACACAAAGGGACATTTAATCTCTCAGTTTACCTGGATCTACCAGCAACAATATGCTCCTCCAACTCAGAGGACCTGCAGAAAACAGAGACTCTCAGGTTTGGTTTCAACTCACTCTTCCTGGACAGTGTCTTCTGTGCTGCAACCAGGGAAATGTGTAAAGAACAACATCAAATAAAGGGATGCACTGAAATAGTGGCAATGCAACATGAAAAAAATGCATTTGTCCAAGTGTATCTTCAGATGTCACTTAAATGGCCACCGTACGTCTCACTGTTCTTTGAGTTTCCTTGTAATCTTTATTTTTAGCCGGGGCAGCTGGCACAGAAGAGTTGAAAGCAAGCAGACAGGTCTATTAGTGTTGAAGTCATCAACACACACACACACACACAGACATACGCACCTCACACCCACCACGACAATTTCTAATTTACCACTGTTTGCACCAGGTTTAATCAGAAAAGACTAAAATAAAACATAAATATCAACAACAATCTGCAAACAAACAGCATGAAGTGAATACCATGTATGACCTATTTTTCAAATATCTCATAGATGCATAAAACCATATTCCTGGAAACCATTTCACGAACACAAGTTGTATCCCCCAGTCAACAATGCTTTTTATGTTTTGTGCCTTTCAAATTACAGAAAACAGATCTAAATAAAGGTCTGTCAGACCAATAGTAATTAAGAGGATCGTAATTGCAGTAGACCTATGGTTTATGTCTGTGTAGCTCGACTGTAACGTTCCGGCTGCCTGGTGTAGATCACATGCAGACAGCTCTTTCCCCAAATTTTCTTTGGCTGGATCATTTTCCATACAGCCCTTTTTCATTCAGCGGTAGAATGAAAACTATGTCCTCTCCTAACCAACTCTGGTTTTAACATCAATTTGAACATTCCTGAGTAAGAACACAGGCATATAGATATGCGGCCGAAAGGGGAAAAAAAAATTTAACTTCAGTAACTCATATTACTAATGTGAACAATGTCCTTTTGATGTGTGATTTCCGGATCATTCTGCTTCTTCTTATCTGCTATTCCTCTCCTGTTCTCTTTTGGCTGTGATCCAAATAAGGAGAAATGCTGGATATTGCCAACACATCTTCACCACTTTGTTCCTCCAAAGAGCCTTCGAGAGGTAAAGTTTAGATTAGGAGAGGGAGGGGGGGCACGGTAAGTTCTAGAGTAGCCAAGGCTGGGAGTGGCGGAAGGGGTAAACGGTGGGAAAGGGCTGTCACTGGAGACTGGGGCTGTCTCCAAACCTCCAGTCAAGTTTATATCACATAGAGCTCCACCAAATCTCAGTTTGCATCCTCCTCTCCTCTCCTCTCCTCTGCTCACTCGCTCAGAGCTCCTTCTGTCTCTCTCCTCCTCTCTGCATCTGCTGGTTGCTCTCCCCGTCAGCCTTGTGAGGGCTCTTGTGAGGCATCTTCCTCTGAACATCTGCAACAGCTTTTCACCCAGAGAAAGAAAAGCTTTTTTTTTTCCTTAAGCCTGCAAGAAACTGAGATCCAACTGTCACCATGGAGGCCATCAAGAAGAAGATGCAGATGCTGAAGTTGGACAAGGAGAATGCCATCGACAGGGCAGAACAGGCTGAGTCCGACAAGAAGGCAGCTGAGGATAAATGCAAGCTGGTGAGATGAGGCCGATTTTAGTGGGAACACACGACATTGTTCTTTCAGTCCATCACATCCATGATGGACTGAAAGAACAATGTGTCTTCTTGTATAACACTAATTTTGCTGAATCTATAGTTAGCTGGGTAATAACTCAACCATATATTGACTTTCATATAAGATTAACTTTATTTATCCCAAAAAAATGTTAAAAGAAGTGCAAGAACATAGTAGATAAGTAACTTGAACACTTAATACATTATGAACGTCTACAATATACAAAATAAAGCACTGGAAAAAAAGCACTAAATGATCTATAAACCATCCAAAAATACCTAAATAACTACACAAGCAGGACTACTATAACAATTAAATGATCATTGTTCAGATTAATAATTCTAAGCAAACTGTAATTAAAAGGTAATTAGTTATTAAGGTTTTTGTGTGATGTACTTCATAAAAAAGGGACATCAATTTGATTCTTTTCTATGTGATTTGCACATTTTCTATATCATGATATATATCTATATATAAAAGTATTCTTGATAATGTAGTTCTGTTGATTTTAACTGTATTGCACAGACTGTATATTGAAATGATTTCCTTCTAAAATACTTTTTAATCTGTTTCATCCACTGATAAGACAAATGTGGGTTGATTATTTTATGATTAATTTGCTATTCACATGTAAGATTGACGCACTGCTTTTATTAATTACACACATACTTATATATACTTATAAATAAATTCCAAACCACTTGTGCAGACTGCAGAGGGGTTCAAAATAAAATGTCAAGTATTTCCCAAAGCACCAAATGCTGAATTGCAGAGAGCAGCTGATACTGAGCCCGAGGGTCTTTTAGTGGGCAGGAAAAGTTGGAGAATGTCCTGAGGGATGCACAAACAGAATCGCAGAGTGGTCGCTGCTGGACATATTATCTAGAACCAGAGGGATTACTTGAAGCTACTAGAAGTGGTGCTGCAGGAATTAAGACAACCCATCTATAACAGCTGTTGCTCTGACTTTCAACAAAGAGAGTACTGCATTACCCAGCATCCTTTTCGGGAATATCTGCACATCCATATTTGGTGCTACAGTGCGAGATCCTTAGACAGACTGATTATTCGAGGGCTCACTTAATGACAGTGTGCTTGTATGACTTGATACAAGTTAAGTAGAATCTGGAGATGTAATAGGATATTTGAGGTTTCTAAATAAAGGCAATTATTGCACAGTGGGAGGTGGTCATGTCATCATGGCGGTACGAGAGGAATGCAAGAGAGCAGGGAGTTGGAGAGACACGGACAAAGGCGTGAGCTAAGGCAAAGCAAGTGGAAAGAATCCTCTCTCTTTTGGCTAATGCCCTAATCACACCCTCAGAGAGCACAAGGAGTGACAGTTGTCATTGGCACTGCACATATGGACCCCCAGCATGTCTTCCACATCAAGGAGCAGCCAGCATGAAATCCTAGAAGATTATCCAGAGCTCTTTAGTTTGTTTAGATGGCAGGGATACAAGCAGCGCTGAGAGATGCTGACTTTGCTATTCTTGGCACGATGGGCCGAACATCAGTGTGCAGTTAGGCTGACGGAAGGCACTGAAAATACACAAAAGTAATACTGAATATCAACATAAATTACAGACGGCAGACTCCAGCTGCAATTAAAGGACCAAATTACCAAAGAATTCGAGAAATTCAGCAGCAGTGTCCCAATTACTCTTAATGATCCACAGACTTCATCATAAGGGGTTTATATTGGAACTACTTTGTCCTGACGAGAACTTTTGACAGCAACTTCTGTAGATTACCAACAGTGATGGGAACACTTCTTGAATTCTTAGCCATGCAACAACAACCATTAGAAATTGAGTTCAGACATTCATGATTGAGGATGAATCCTAATAACATTGGTGGTCCCCTGATGTTCCCTCTAGTGCCACTATGAGGTTGATATTTGTGGTTTTAAGTGAAATGTCACGACAACTATCGGCTTGCCATTACATTTAATACAGACATTCATGTCCTCTAAGAATAATAACTTTATGATGACTGTGACTTTCTATTTAGAGCCATCATCAGGTCAAAATTTCAAATTGTCCATTATGACCAAATACATGTAAAACTGACATTCCCACTAGCCTCAGCTGTATTTGGTGTCAACTACTAATTAGCAAACGTTGGAATGCCGACACACTCAACTAAGATGGTGAACATGGTAAACATTGTAACTGATAAACATCAGCATGTTAACATTCTCCTTGTGATTATGCTAGCAGGCTGATGTTAGTATTTAGCTCAAAGCACCACTGTACCTAAAGTAAAGCCTCACAGAGCCACAGAGATGTCTGTAGACTTTTAGTCTCATTTTTCTTACTGAGGTTAGTAGTAGTCATGCCCCTTTATCTAGTTCTTCTGGGTATTGACCAAGTGTACCTAAAGCAGCAACTAGGAACTTTAATTTTTTTGTTGGTTGCCCCTGTGCAGCCCCCAAAAGCAGCAGTCTTTCCACTGCCTCGTCACCATTTCATTGATTTCAAGGGGAATCTGACCAAATCCAATACAGTGGTTGGCAATTACAATTAGCTAATTAGCTTTAAACTACTTTTCAGCTGTCTAATATATCGAGAATATTTCAAAACTCTAGATATCATACCAGCATTTAGAGGCACTGCTGGATTTTTGCATTCAGTGTTTTATTATATATTATAATTTTCATTATTTTTGAGTAAAAACTTGGTTAGGTTTTGTTGTATCCTCCCTGACTCTCTGTCATATTTGCCTTCACTCAGCTGGAGGACGAGCTGCTGGCTATGCAGAAGAAACTGAAGGGAACAGAAGATGAGCTTGACAAGTACTCGGAGGCCCTGAAGGATGCTCAGGAGAAACTGGAACTGTCGGAGAAAAAGGCCACAGATGTGAGTTCACCACAAAGACATCTGAAACACATTATCCACATTAAAGTGGAACACCACAACGTTTCAGTCTTGCAAAGTATTGATAACACTCTTTCAGATGGACTGAACTAAATATCACTCCACGATTGAAAAAAGACCAATGGTAGAGACACATTCAGGTTTTGCAAACAAAAGTTATTTTCTATCAAAATCAGTTTTGAAAAATCTCCAAATTAAGTTCTTATACACTCAGTCTGAGTGTGGCTTCTTCTACACTCCCAGAAAAAGGCCATGTCTGGACTCGCCTGAGTAGTTTAGTTTAGTGTAGTGGTTGTTTCTAGAGCGATAAAACACAGCAGCAAAGTGATTATAATGCTGAAATTCAGTAAATATAATAATTAAAAACAATTAAAAAAGTTATTTGCCTAGTTGCAATCATGGAAACTACAGGCACAATCTTAGTCCAAGAAATGTCCCTTGGTTTCTATGATTTTAACAAAACAAAGGAATAAAAGAAGGCAGTCTTAGTGGGCCTTTATGGCAAAAGTTTGACATGAGATTGAACTTGAAAATCCCTTATTGCATATTAACCACAGACTGATACTGTACCGTATATATGTTGGAAAATATTTACACTAAACTCCTGCTAACTCAGCACCTACTGACCAACCACAAACTAGAACTAACAACCTTGAAATGAATCTTGAAATTACTAACTTGAATCTTTTAACCCAGATAGTGTGAAGAATGAGTGTCTCAGTGAGGTCTGTAACAGACCTATTTCTCAAGCACAGACAAAAACTTGGCCGGCCTGTAGCCGACCAGGAATCCCAGGAATGCAGCTTAAGCAAACAGAGAACCCCGTACTGCAATGTCTAATGAAATCAATGCTCTGGCCTTTTTCTCGGGGGGGGGGGGGGTTCTGGTCCGTCGTCCGTCTGGCCCTACAGTACGTATCTTACCTGGGACAACAGAGAATGACCATTCACCTTTAAGAGCATATATGTCATTTCTGATCTTTCTTTTAAAGTTATATCCCAGTGAGCTGGAAAAGATGAGCTGTTATCTTTTATCTAAAGCAAAACAAGATTCCACAAAAGAAAATGGAGACAGACAGACTAGACTTAGTTGTTTTTTTTGTCCAGTCATGACCAATATTACTAATATGACACCAGAAATACTTATTATGGGGTTTTACCGGTGACACATGATGATTCTCTTCTTTCACTCTCTGGTTTTTCACATTTTTAGAAGGATGCGTCATCTTGAAGCAACAAGACCATGTTTTGTTGTACAATTATTGTGTAATTATTAAAATTATAATTTTTTTTACAAACTACACTGAAATTATAAAGGCATTTGAAAATGACATGGTAACACAAACTGTATACATGATACTTTGGGGTTTCATACTTTACTTAAGATTTCATTAAACCTTTCTTTTTTCCCCAAAACACTGACAAAGAGTAAAGATCTAGGGTATTTTGGTAATTACTAAATACAATAATTACAATTATTTTCATGATTGATTAATTTGCTTATTATCTTCTTGATTAATTATTATCTTGATTAATCGTTTGGTCTATAGAATGTCAGAAAATAAAAACAATTTTCACAATTTTTCAAAAGCGCTTCTTCCTAATGTCTTATATCTGACCAAAACCCAACAATGTTCAGTTTACATAAGATAATAAAGGCTCAAATTCTCTGGAACCAGTGAATGCTGCTTGGCGTTTTGGTGGAAACATGATTAAAACGATTAATCGATCGTCCAAATATCTGCTGATTAATTTTCTAATAATCGTTAGTTTCAGCTGTAATAATTAGACTAAAACTGAACTGAATATATACTATCAATGAAAGTAGCCCTCACAGACTAAAACTACCAGTGAATGCAGCTGAGATAAGACCCCCAAAGGTTAAAGGTCAGATTACAAATGATTTCTGTCTCAAGTGACCCATCAGATGCCCACAGGTGTGATTTTTGCATCTCTGTCCACCAGAACTTCTTCTTCTAGTGTATTTCACACAGCTTATTCGGGACTCTGATGCATATAAATGTGATAAAAAGGTCAGAAAGGGAAAACTAAATGCGCGGATAAGTGAGGAGGAGGAGGAAGCAGAAAGGGGGCAGAAGGGGGCGCTGAAGGAATGTGTCGCCACCCGATGGCTGCGGGTCATGTCTGCAACCACATCAATTTACATTCCAGTCCGCTGCAGGTCAACAACCCCTGTTGAAGAGGATTATTACCGCCCCACCCATGACCCTCCCTCCTCCCCCCATGCGACAAGAAAAATCTTTGGACCTTTGACTTCTATTCAGTTTACAACTTCCTGTTTCTTCTTCTTCACACACACACACACTCATACATTTACTGCTCTTTTCATATGTTAAAAATCATTAGATCTGATTCATACATCTGAGTCAGACTGATGAGGCAACTGTGCTCCTCCTTGATATCAGAGCAGAAAAATGCAGCCTAAGCAACACCTTACATTTGCCATATAAGTCCACAATAGAAACCCAGGCCTGTCTCTCTCTCTTACACACACACACACACACTGATTTTACACACCTCTTTTGTGGAGGAAAAGAGCAGTGCCTTCCCCTCCTAAATCCTGTGATGTCATCTGAGACCAGGCTTCCTTGGATTGGGTGATCTCGCCATAAATTTCCTGAAAACTCCCAGCCTTTTTTTTTTTTTTTCCTGTCCTCCCATCCCAACATAGCACGTCCCTAACTTCCTGCCCGAGAACAAAGTTTTCATCGGACTCTCTTGCAACTTTGAAGCAAATCAATAACTTCTTTTTTAAAGGATCCGGCCGGTAGACTTGTTTTTGAGGAGGAGGAGAAGGGGACAAGGCTCTTTTCTTTTGCTTTTGAGACAAAGTAATCGAGATAATGGAGGTGGTGAAGAAGAAAATCCAAACCCTCCAGCAGCAAGTTGATGAGGCAGAAGACCGTGCACTGACAGTACAAAGGGAGTTGGACACTGAACGTGAACTGCGCGAAAAAGTGAGAAAACTTTACATTTATCCGACTTCAGCCTTTCCACTTGTTTTCTATTCGTCTTTAAAGCTCGCATACCGTCGAGCATCTCGGTCGAGGATTGTAAAGAATGTACAGTGTCGGTGTTGGGAGTGCAGGTAGCGAGGAATCAAAGAACCTAACAAAAAAAAAAACAACCTCTCCCTGCGTTTCCCATTTGGAGAAGTGTTATTTTTATCTTGTAATGTGTCAATGTAGTCGATTTAGAGGCTTATGGGGAAGTTGGGGCATCATTGTAGCGACATTTCTTGGCAGACTTTTGTTCGGCTTCGTTATCTAAGTGAAACCCGCCCTATACCCTCACACAGAGAAATGCAAGCCCCCCCCCGTATTACACTAACCGCCAGGGTGGTTGTTTGAATATGAAAGGGGGTAACAGGGTTATACCGGTTAAAAACTTGGATTCTTTTTTTTTTTTTACCAATTTACATCTAAGACACTTGGAAAATAGTTTGTTCCACTTTTCTCAAGCATCCAGTATCTTTGTCTCTGCTCGCCTTTTTGAGCTTTTACACTTATATTTGACACATATCTGGAATTAGGGGCTATAACCCTTCCTCCTCCTCTTTAGCCTCCACACAGGAAGAAGAGAGCAGACGTGGTTATCTGTGATAACAGTCCCACAGGAAACAGGCTAAAGAGAAGCGATCCATTGTCCCCCCAATTAAAAATTAGAGAGGTTTACAAAAGTCCGGGCCCAGCTCAGGCTGCACCACTTCAGATATGTCAGGGTTAAAAACTGTCTCTCTGTTGTTCTGCATCAGCAGTTTTTCAAAGAGTCTGGTCAAGCTGCAAAGTCCAGAGCTCATCGTGGTTGTTGAGAGTGAAACTGATTACATGTAAGAAATCTGATGGACAGGAGATAAAAAAAGAAAACAAGAATATATGCAGGCCCAGAGAGTATGAGTTCCAGACAATAAATAGGCTCATGGCTTATAGATTAAATATGCACAGGTTATAATATTCAAACCATTTGACTGCAAGACATGTTTATACATTAACTAGTTACACCTAACCCTAACTGCGGTATTAATGAGACGTTACACTCAAAACCAAGAGCCAAAAAAACCTACTTAAAATCAATGATTTAACATTACATAGCTACTTTCCGTATCAGTATCCTTCCTCTTGTGGGAGCAGCATGTTTCCTGACTGACCTCTGACCTCTGACCTCTCTCTCTTCCTCTGTGTTGCTGTAGGCGGAGGGCGATGTGGCATCCTTGAACCGCAGGATCCAGCTGGTGGAGGAGGAGTTGGACCGCGCACAGGAGAGACTGGCCACAGCCCTGCAGAAACTGGAGGAGGCTGAGAAGGCTGCAGATGAGAGCGAAAGGTAAGAATCAACAGGGACCTCAGTCATAATGTGTTAACCACGATTTGGCAGCCGCAAGATTGGAAAATGATCGTCTTATGGCTTTGGGATAATGTGATTTGTCCACGTACAACACAACCCTTGATCGAAAATCAGGTCCCACCAATTGGAGACATTGCTGTTGGCATGCAGATGTTATTAACCACCCTGGATTTTAAGTGAGAACAGTAAAAAAAGTAACATGGTTTACTTTTAACAACTGTTGCATTCATCTTTGTATTCAGACAGTCCCACTTTGGCCAAAATTGCCTTGGGAGCAGTGAAGTAGACCCTCATAGGACAAATAGGCCAGACACATTTTAGCTGTATAAAGTGGACATGGTGGTAGAGCTGCCAGTTCTGGAAATATAAGAGAAGATAAAATAAAATAAGGTGGGAAATTATGTGTTAGGTGCACAAGACAAAGATTAGATAGAGATATGAATAAGATCAAGTAGAGCAAGCTTAGATTTAAGCTAAATACAGATACAAAATAAGTACAGGATGTATTTTCCTTAAGAAATTCCAAATTCAAAGTTAACTTTTAACAGTAACCTCAAACAGAACAGAATAACCTGAATGATTAAGCTTAAGTTATGTAATCATAAATGTCTTTTTTATGTCCAATGACACTAATACCGATGAGCTCATTTGTACCACTCATGCCAGCAAAAGGTGCACAAACAGTCCTATCATCTGCAAAATGAGTCATAAAAAGTCATAATTGATCATCATTGAAATCAAACTGTCACCTGTCGTAAATGCCTTGTTGAACCGAATCCCGTCTGTCTTTCTGATCACCAGAGGCATGAAGGTGATTGAGAACAGGGCCATGAAAGATGAGGAGAAGATGGAGATCCAGGAGATGCAACTCAAAGAAGCCAAACACATCGCTGAGGAGGCGGACCGCAAATACGAGGAGGTGCGGGCGCAGTGATCCCATTTCAGCTGACTTTCAGCTTTCACATGAATCTGATGTTCATGTCTGTTTTCGCTCAACTGTGATTTTATGTCTTTTTTAATGTCAGGTCGCCCGTAAACTGGTAATCCTTGAGGGTGAGCTGGAGAGAGCAGAAGAGAGGGCAGAGATTGCAGAGCTGTAAGCACAAACACATTGAAGAAGTTTTATTGCAGGCACCTTAAAAGTGTTACACAGATAACAGGGCAAACACATTCAGAAAACTTAAATGTATTTCTGTCTCCATACAGTAAGTGTGGTGACCTGGAAGAAGAGCTGAAGAACGTCACCAACAATCTCAAGTCGCTAGAGGCTCAGTCTGATAAGGTAGGTGTTGTAAATCTATCCTGGAGATTTGATCATGTAGAAGTGCTAACCATTTGATTCACCTGCCTGTAAGTTCCTATTCTGTCCAAAACTGTAAAACTTAAATGTCTTAAAAAACAGACACATTTAATGTAACATGTACATCAATAGAGTTTACAACATAGATATTGAGCATTAAAGGGGAAATTAATCAGAAATAAACGTGATATTGTCAATTAAACGATGTCATATTCTTCTATTTGTCTGTCTCTATAGTACTCTGAGAAAGAGGACAAATATGAGGAGGAGATTAAAGTCCTGAATGACAGACTCAAGGAGGTAAGTTCATGTCTGGTCAAGTTGTATTCTCTGAGGGAAGCTGTGCCCGGACGTTTAATATGTTTGTTGTTTTTTTTAAAGGCGGAAACCCGTGCAGAATTCGCAGAAAGGACAGTGGCTAAGCTGGAAAAGACCATTGATGACTTAGAAGGTACGATTTATTTCCATCCTTCTCATCATTCCTACAGTTCCTTCTTTACTTTGTTCAAATCTTTATCGTTCTTAATTTTCTTTATTCTTAATCTTTGATCTGATTCCTCTCTTTTTCCTCCTGATTTCCTCCCGTGGTCTGCACAACTTTCCTCCACCTGCTTTCTCTCTGTCTGCCCTTCAACCTGCAGACGAACTGTACACTCAGAAGCTGAAATACAAGGCTATCAGTGAGGAGCTGGATCATGCCCTCAATGATATGAACACCTTGTAAACCTTGCATGTAGCTCACAATGTTTACAATTTCTCTTTATTTCTCCTTGCCTAATGGAAGGAAGCACTTTGTCTCTTCTTTTCTCCTTTTGCTATCACTGCTTCTTGCTCCTTTTGCATTAAACTGAAGCTCAATAAAGATATATTTCTCGTTTACCTTGTCTTCTGTCATTTCCATTTTCACTACTATGCAGCTGTAACAGTCAGTAGTTACTATATTTAATGGCCACTATGAAAAGTTTACGTACATGTGTTTCTTTTGCTATGTCTGCTCTAAAATGGCCAGTATATTAGCTCACCCATTGCATCTGTTTACCGATTGCATTTTATATCTGCTGCTACTTTTTATTGCAGAGAACCTATCGAGCGCAAAAGAGGAAAACCTAGGAATGCACCAAGTCCTGGACCAAACACTGCAGGAGCTCAGTAGCTTGTAAAACGCCAAGAAGAACATCAAACAATAAAAATGAAAGGAACAAAAACATTTGTTTTGTAAAAGACATTTTCTACATGCCATCCATTTTCTGTAATTTCACTCTTATTCTTGGTTGTTAAAACAAATGTACCCCTTTTATATATTTATGGTTCTTTTGTTTCTTTTCCCTTTTTTAAAAATGGTTCTGGGTCCATATAATATTCAGTTTCGGTGCTGGGAATTGTGTTATAGGCAAAAACGCTGAGCACAAATAAAACTGACGATGATGCTGATGATTGCGATGAAGTGAGTTTTATGTGTTATGTTGACGTGTGTGTGCATGTGTGCGTCTTCTGTGTAAGCATGCACAGTTCTGCATATGTGTTTGTGATGTGTTTTTGTGTGTCCTTCAGGCAATTTCAACACATACCCATAAACCGAACAGAGAGCTCACCCTTCAATTTACGTGTGCTAACATGCACAGTGTTTTCTGTGTGCTCTGCTGACGGTGAATTTCTCAAACAAAAAACTAGAGACATTGCATAGCTGCTGGCCCTTCTGTCCCTCAATGGCAATGTCTGCCAAACCGCTTCTTTTTTTTTTCAATTAGTGAAGATATATGTAATGATAACCTCTGTGTTAAGCACAAGAATCAAATTGCTTACTACCATTTAAGGTTAATGTTATGTTGTCCTCAGAAAGTAGTAAGCTGGTCATCTGACTGTTAGTGTAAGTCCAGATTAACTGTGCAACTCCGGAAGAGGCCATGGGAGGTGATTGAAAGCTCAGAAAACTAGTCTGAAAAGTAGCATAAATGGAAATATTCCGGTACAAGTACCTCAAAATTGTACTTAATTATACACTAGGCCACTTGAACAGACTATATGTACTTCTCTAAACTTTGAGGACCTGAACACGTGCTATATTCACAGAGTCTCTGCTAAACAGCCTTGCATTAGAAAAGTACACAGTTAAAACAACCAAAGAGCCAAGCATCAGAGTGAATGTAAAACTGTGTAATGTGTTTAAAAGAGGCCTGCTAAGGACAAAGAAAAACACATAATACAGACAGAACTGCATAAAAAAGTTTCTTAAAAATATATCAGGAATCTCTGATACAATATCCACAGGAAATAATCTGCTCAAAATTCATCCAAATTGCTCATTTTACACGAACTTCCTGCAGTTTGCAAAAGGGGTCCCTTAAGGAACAAGGTTGGTTAACCACTATTGCAGTCCAGTGGTTCCCAATCTGGGGGTCAGGACACCTGTTAGAGGTCACTAGAGCTTCAAAGGTGAAACGAAATAGGCCTATCTCTCAGCATCTGGTTTACATCTGTAAAGAAAACTAAAATTAAAGTATATTGTTGTAAAGTGAATTGTCTAATAGAACAATGGCCAAGAAAACACAGACAGAATTGTATAGAAAGTTCTCTAAACAGGAAATAATCTAAACATTAATCAATTTTACACAAACTTCTTGCAGTTACTGAGTTCACTATTTGGTTTCATTGTACAGTTTTCAATGTAATAAGAAATGTCCATAAAATATGTCACTTTGTCAGGGGTCGCCAGTTTACTAAAATGATAGAAAAGGGGTCCCTTAAGGGGAAAATGTTGTGAACCACTGCTGTAGCCCAGCGGTTGCCAACCTGGAGGTCAGGACACCTGTTAGAGGTCGCTAGAGCTTCACAGGGGGTAAAAAAAACACAATAGGCCTATATCTCAGCATTTAGTTCAAGAAAACTAAATGTAAAGTATATTGTTAAGTAAATTGCCTAATAACAATGGCCAAGAAGAAAAATTTGTCAAAAAAAGAAGCTTATTGCTAAAAATGATATGATATATAATTCCTACGGCATCTAGGAGATCAAATGTCAGTAAACATATGTTTAATCGGCATGAGGATTATAAGGGGGTCCTTGGAAAATGTTCTCCCCTGTAAGGGGTCCTTGGCCCCAAAAAGTTTGACAACCTGCCGTAGACCACAGTTAGTGAACTAACTCTAAACAGGAAATAATCCTCTCAAAAATCATACATTTTACACAAACTTATTGCAGTTACTGAGTTCATTGTACACTTTTTAATATAATAAGAAATATCCATAAAATATGTCACTTTTTACTCTACTAAAATGATAGAAAAGGGGCTCTTTAAGGGGGGAAACATGCTGTAGACCACAGTAAGGCTACGTTCACACCGCAAGTCTTAATGCTCAATTCTGATTTTTTGCTTAGATCCAATTTTTTTGTTTGG